TTCTCTTGTACTGTTTGTGGTCTTTTGGGCAATTATCAAGCCGGTCTCAAAAGTCATGCCCGTCATAGCTATGCAGATAATTAGTTCGTGGTCGTCGGAACCTCATACATCGAACTCGGTGGGTGAGCCCATCATATATATATATATATATATATATATATATATATATATATATATATATGTATATGTATGTATGTATGTAAATAAATAAAAAGAAAGAACAGTAAGATATATAATCCGGTGTTCTTATAGATATTTTTATTTTTACAAAATAGTGCTCAATGTAAATTTACAGAGCATTAATATTATAAATTAATTGATTTTAAAATATTTTAAATCAATTAATTTATATATATATATATATATATATATATATATATATAATTTCTCAGAATTAACCCGTAGAAAAGGCTAATATGTATAAAGAAAAAAGACAATAGAAAAACTGTAGTTTTAGCCTACGCATTTCGTCCAGTGTGTACTGTTTCAAGGGGAAAAAAACGAAATTAATTTATTGAAGAAAAATATCTGCAAACAACAAACAAAATGTCGTTAGCAACGAGAAGAATTTAGAAACGCTATTGTATATTCATATGGTCAAATGAAAAACTACGTCAATTACTTTATGTTTGAAGAGAATATTTTCCCATGTAGAAATATTGTTTGTATTGTTGTGTTACAGATTCATCCATTTTCTTTTGATTTCTTGTTGTGTACGTTGGCTTTGGAGAGTAGTGATTCTGTTAAGAATGGTGATATTGGGGAAAAAAAACCCGGAAGTAGATTAATATTCGTATAATATTCAATGCCGGCATTCTCGAGGATTTTCCTTCTTAGTGAGTTATTTTCTTTTTTTATGAGTGTTGCATTTATAAAATCAAAATTGTGCTTGAATATATTTCTGTGTATTACTAGTGCATTTATTAAATTGTTTTTATGAGGTCTCGCTTGTGCTCATAGATGAGTTATTTTTTTAAATTTTTGCATGTTTGTGAGGAACAGTTTTGGCAACTTATTTTATATATGCTTGCTTTAGAAATATTATTCTTATGGGTTTATGTGCATATATAAGCATGATTTTGGAAGTGTTTGTGATTATTTTGAGATTATTTAGACGGGATAGATTGTTCTGGATAAGTGGACGCGAGGGAGTTGGTCGGTAGTATTATGTATCTGTTCTCATATAATTTATTATTGCGGATTATGTTATTATTTTTGTTGCCGTTGTATATTTTGTATGCTTTTCTTCTTGCGTTGTGGATGAAATGATATAGGAATTGTAGGTCTTTGAATGTGTTTTCTATGTATGTTTTTTTTAAGTAAATATTGGGGGCTGCAGATTCTTAATGCTCTCAAATAGAAAATTATAATAATTCCAGATTTAATTTTAGAAGAGTGGTTTGAATAGAAACTGACCTGGTCATTTTTGTTGGTAGCTTTTCTATAAACGTCAAAATTGAGTTCGTTATTGTTTCTGTGAAACATGATGTCTAGGAAGGGAAGAGTGTCGTTGGTTTCAGTTTCAATGGTGAAGTCTGTTGTAGGTTCAACGTTGTTAAGTTGATTTACAAGATGTGTTAAATTATTATTCTGTGGTTAAAATTAATAGTGAGTCGTCTCTAGGAAGAGTTTGGAGGTAGAATGTTTTTAAATGGGTCACTTTCTGAAGCAGGCATATATAAAATAAATTGCCGGTGTATTCTAAAGAATACACCGGAAAAACAGAAAAAAAACTACAGTTTTCCATTTGTCTTTTTCCTTTATACATATTGTCTTTTTCTACAGATTAATTCTGATAAATTGTTACTTATATATGCTTATATATACAATATGCACACAGACACCCCTATATTTCGATTCACTTCCCTCTTCCCCTCTCTCTTTGCCGTAACACTCATTTGGATATATCTGTATTACTGTCGTCTGTCTCCTCTCTCTTTTCCATTTTATCTTTTCTTTTATCCCCACTCCCCTCCCATTCCTATATATCATTTCCGTTAAGTTAACCATCTAAATAGGTCAAGGTTCGGTCACTCCTCCAACCCCAATATAAAGCATGCTTAAGAGAGATATGAAATTAACCCCTCCCTATACTCTACCTTGTCTTTTTAACTATAACTCTCACCCCCCTCCGTTAAATTACAAAAATTACACTACCCATCAATTTCTAATCCTATTTTTCCTTTCATTTCGTTGTTGGAAGTGTTACCTGATGATCCGGAGACCTTTAAAAAGGATTTTGGTGAAATAAATTATTGTAATGGTACCTTAAATTGTTCTGTTTTTCGTTAAATATATATATATATATATATATATATGTGTGTGTGTGTGTGTGTGTGTGTGTGTGTGTGTGTCATCCAAAGACAGACTGTTTCACTGTATCACATCTCATCAGTGTGGTTAGACATCCGATCGTTTCGGGCCAGGATGCCAAATCAGTCGGAGATTTTTCCCCTAAGCTATCGGCTTCCGGAAGAGTGTAAGGTGAATTTTTACGTATTTATTTTTTGGTAAACACGCCAGTGACTCAGAGTGCTCGATTCATAGAAGACGTTTGCAGTATCACATGTAGCAATCGCTGTTTACAAATTCATGATCCCCCC